GAAGTTATTGATTTTGTCTTTGAAATGTCTCACTTAAAGATAGATAAATATTTGTTTAAATTAATTTGGTACAGTATTACAGTTCATTGGTTTTCATTGCTATAACTATGTAAACATCTCAGCCTAAGGTAAGTATAAACGCAAAATAAACTACTAGCTCCACGCTGGGACTTCCATTCGATAGTACGTTTAAAAACATAAAGTCTGTGAAAAAAATTGATAGCTGATACTCTCTTATTTAAAGGTACAAGTGATTTTTCTGTGTAAACATTTGACGTGAAGATAAGAAACTGTTAGCTGAGAAAAATCAACCGATAGCTTTTTGATTTTCACATTTTCACCTTAATTAACACTATTTATGTACTTGTTTCTTGACAGTTAGTACTTTAGTCACATTTATATGAGTAAGAGGATATCTATTACAGGCAATAGCAGTCATTATTAGACGTACTAGAGTTAAACATTATAAGTTTATTCGAAATTTTTCACAAAATGTTATGGAAGATTTTGATGAGCTAGAGATCTTTTATAAAGCAATTTCATAGAATTGCATCATTTAATCCACCAAAAAGCTGTTTTGGAATTTGAACAACGATTCAAAAAATTTGAATCTCCCAACAATTCTGTCTAAGTGGTTCGTCCAGTCTGTATCGAATCCAAAAAGACTTTATCAGTAAAATTATATTTTCTTAGAATAAAAGATATTTTATTTAGTATTTATTTTTAATTTTGGTAACTATCTAAGTAAAATGTGTAAAATCTTAATTTTTACAGTTTGAAATAGGTTCTCAAATATTATAACTGTTTACGTTTTAAAGTTATTGGGGAACCTTCCACTATCCGTCCACAATCGCCTTAGTCCTCAATCTAAATAGTTTTTTTTCAGATTTAATCAGGTTTTTGAAACATTGGCTGTGGTTTTAAGATTTTGTCTGTATGGTAAATTGAAGTGACTTCTTAGAAAATAATATAACACCTCCTCTCAACGTTTTAATACAATAATATGGCTCTTTTAGGAGTATTTTGACAAGTGGGCCTCATGCCATTCTTCATAGAAATTGTAAATATTTAGTTTTGAAGAAGGCTGTTTGAAGTAACTGTTAGTTATCACTATAAACTAATGAGCATACATTGCGTCTAAGAGCAAATATAATATATAACTTGTAAATAAACTCTTAAATCTATTTTTCTGATAGCTTATCGTTGTTATATAGTTTTAAGAAAATAATTGAAGATAAGACATGTCAAATCCATATTTTTAATTTTACACGTAGCATAAAGCTTGTGATTATCATTATTATTAATATCGGATTAACACAAAGTATCCATTAGTTATTAGCTACTACAATGCTTCATATGATTATTTTATTTTTAAGAATATACTAAAAGTACAATTTTCACATTGCTTTTTCAAGAGATGTACTTCCAACCGGAGACATCTTTAAACAATTTTGTGATTAAAGAATGTTAAAGATATTTAATTAATTTACCTGCATATTTACTTGAAATGCAGGATAAATGACCACTTATGGACACCGTTAAGACTTTTTTTTTTGTTATCACCTAACATGTTATCGATATTTTTTTTTTAATTGATGTAATGATATATTTTTCTTGCTCCTTGTGTAAAGAATAATTATCTGTCCTTGTTCCAGCAAAAGAATTATTTCGTTATATTTTTTGCACATTTTTTAATTTAAGATTGTTCTGCTTGATAAGTTATGGACACCTTAAAAACTAATTATAGGCACCCCTTTACTTACCTTTACATCTATTCAAAAACATAAAAAAATTGTTTGTCTATTTTTTAAAATATTTTTTAAACTAGACTTTTTCATAAATAAAATTTAAATAAACCATAATACACTTTATTTACATAACGATCTGCAGTTAATAAAAGTAAACTCTCTTTTAGGAAAATTTTAGATGTTATACAGTTTTTAACTAGCTGATTTATAATATGTTCAATCTTTCTCTCTTCTGTTTTTTAAATTCCTTCTTTTTTCCGTTCTTCTTGATTGTCATAATTTTTTTTTCCATGTAGCAGAGGGATGTCTTTTTCGTTCACACATGCATTAGATTCCGTTACAGATTCAAAATTGAGTCCATCCTTCTCTCTGGATTTTATTTTTTAATTTGGCCACTCTATTTTTTTAAATTATTGCCTCTTACTCAACACAACGTCAATCTAGGAAATCCTTTTTGGGCACATTCCAGGTTCCATTTTACCAGCATTTCAGCTTATTCCTGTGTCAAGACTGTATCAGTACAACATTTCATTCTTTCTGCCCCTTTTAATCTCCTAATTAGAGTTGCTCAATGAATCTAACACTTGCAACTGATTTCACTGACATCTTTGATGTCCTCTATTGCTAGAACGATTTGCTCTGCATCGTAACTATTTGAGTTATCTGCCTTGATTTTTACAATAAATAATAATATAAAAAATGTATATAAAAAATAGATTTTTTAAAAAATCATTGTTCATTAACTCACTGAATAATGAACTATATTCAGTACAAACATTATATATTACAAACGTTATATTTCTTCTTATAATTTTTTTTAAATTTGTTCATTTCTTTAAAGGGGTGTCCATAACTAACGAAGGCATACTTCTTTTCTGACGTTTGCGGATATATAAAAGAAAATTGGGGACTGAATTCAATAGTACTGGCACTACATTTTTTACCAACTTTGAGTCAAATCGAAAGAGACAAGACACGACGAGCCGTTTCTGAAATAATGACAGACCTGAAACAATACGCATGCGTGTGCATAAGCGGAAGTGCTTGATGGAATTTGATAAAATTGATATGAGACCATCGAGTCACCAACCGTCATAATCCCTGAAAATTTCATGACAATCGGATAAAGTAGGTGATATGCCCTTCACATCGATTTGACTATAGACAGACATACACCAAATTCAATAATTGATGTCTGAAACGTAAAACGCGAGTGGAAATTTTCATTCTGAGCACAAAAATGTTTTGAACCTTTCGCAAGTACAGTGATGGAAAAAAGTATTTGCACAACACGTTTTTATAAATAGATTAGTTCAAGGAAACAAAAAACTTCGCTTTCCTTTGCAAAAATAATTTATTAAAACCTGAAAAAAACTTTTTACAAAAAAATAAAAACACTTCATAATCAAACAAAATAATTAAAACAATAAAAGTGCTTAGAAAAAAGTATTTGCACACTTCCACATTTTTAAGTATTTTAAATTTTAATATTTTGTAAATAGGCCATTTGCGTCAATAATTGCTTGTAGAAGTCTGGGCATTGAATGCACTAGGTTTTTAATTAAATCTACGTTTATTTGTTCCCATTCTTGAACAATTGTTTAAGGTGATGTCCACTAGTGACATGGTGTTTTCTTACATTTTGTTCAAGGGTGTTCTATAAATTTTCAATGATAATTATATCTGGTGACTGTGGAGGAGTGTGGAGCTGTCTTGGAACATTAAATATTAATCACTCCTTTGTTCTCCTCGCAGTATGTTTTGGATCGTTGTCCTGCTGGAAATAGTACTGATCCTGGATTCCCATTTTTTCGGCACTAACAAGCAAATTACGTCGCAAAATGTTCACATAGCCTTCCTTAAAATGCCTTCGATGCTCACAAGATTTTCCACGCCATGGTAGAAAACACACCCCCAAACCATAACATGTCCTCCACCATGCTTTACAGTTTTTAAAACATTTTGCTTCTTTAGGGATTCATTACGATGTCGCCATATCGTCCTTCGACCATCTGAACCAAACAAATTAAATTTGCTTTCGTCAGAAAATATGACATTTTCCCAAAAGCTTAAGGGTTTCTGTACGTACTCCCTAGCAAAAGCAAGGCGCTTTTTTGCGATTCGTTTCACTGATGTATGGCTTCTTTCTTGGAACTCTACCATGGAGCCCTTCCGAATTCATGGCATATCTCTAATTTTTCTGCTAGTAATCTGAATTCCAGACGTTAATTGGACCATGATAGCCAGCTCCCGAGAACTTATCTCGGAATATGAAGATTTTTAAGAGCTTCTTTTCTGAGTTTCCTCTTCAGCCTGGGAGTTAACTTTTTTGGACGCCCTTTACGCTCACTGTTTTTAGTTGAACCACGTTCTTCATATCTTTTTATGACGTATCTCACTCTACAAAAATTCAATCCTAAGAAATCGGCAATTTGGCGATATTTTTTTTGCTGACTCCTCAGTAAAACCATTTTTTCGCGAGTTGCGGCACACAGTTCACTTGTCTTTGGCATGATAATTGTCTGTTGACTAAAGGAAACTGGTTGAAAGACTAGAGAACACTGGTAATACACGATTAGAGATAAATTAGTAAACAAACCTATGACCTATGGACACAGGAGGATTAATGCCAAAGTAAACAGAGATTGTGAGTCATGGTGTGCAAATACTTTTTTCCAAGCACTTTTATTGTTTTAATTTTTATGTTTCATTATGGATTGTTGTCATTTTTTTCCAAAAGGTTTTTCTCAGGTTTTAATAAATGTACTTTTCATTTTTGCAGAGGAAAACGAAGTTTTTTGGTTCTTTGAACTCATTTATTCATAAAAACATGATGTGCAAATACTTTTTTCCATCACTGTATACAAAGCTTCCCTACTATTAGGTAGCAAAAAACCCAATTTTCTCAAAATGGCAGCGCATCTGGTGATAAGAAGAATTTATAAACTACAACTGTGCAAACTCAGACAGCTTAGCGAAGCTACCCTAATCTCTGTTACTATTCTCGATTTGTTTTCACAATTAGAATGGATTAATTAATATCCATAATAAATAATTTATTGCTTCATTAGGTTATTTTAAATGAGCAGTGGGTTATCTAATCCAGACCACTCCTACAGTTTACCAATAAAAGTTAATAGTTAGTTAGTTGATAAAAATTCTCCGAACAAGAACGAACAAAAGAAAGGTCACGGAAACTTTAACACCAGATATCGATATCAGATGTAGCCTTGACTCAGCTGTGGTACTGGCTGGCAGTGGCTGATCATTTCATTCAGAATGCGTCATCATGTCATCACTGGCGGCTCTCATCCTGTCTCTATATTTGTTTTCTGCAGTCGTTTCTGAAACTGTGAGTTGGTTTGTTTTACGAGTTAATTTGTGAATATTAATGCACTTTCAGATATTTATAGTTCAGTTGTACTAAGAAACTATTAAAATAAAAAAATAAAATAAAATGGTATCTATTTATTAATCAGATATTTATTAGAGTGTTTTATATTCGTCAAGACGAAATCAATATATCAATACCTACATATACTGATGGAAATAAATAAAATTAAAATTACACACCAATATCAATTGACATGAAATATATTCTGTTTATGAAGAAAAACATACAAAGCATCTAGCTCAGTTGGCCTCCACTAGGTAGCGACACTATTTATGTTTTGTTTTCATTGTTTATAACATAAATTATAAAATATTTCGTAATATTATGATATAAAATCATATTAATACCTTTATTAGTATATTAAATTACTATATTTTGGAATTATACTCATTTTTTACTAAATAAAATGTCACTAAAGATAATAAATTCATAGTTGTACAAGTAAACATCCATTAATTGATAGTATTTAAATTTTTTTTTAACTGTATCTATTCTCTAATACTTGAAAGATTCTTGAAAATTATAAGATAATAAATGTTATATCAATATATTGTAGTTAGAAACAAATTAACTATTGTTATTTTGAGAGTCAAAAATTCAAAGAAATATTTTTCACTAATGGAAATAACAACTTGTATAAGACAATCTTTTTTTTTCAAAATTCTTAGAATTGTAGATAATTTGATGAATATTTTGCTCACAAATTTGTAATGTATCACCACAATAATAATCTAATTAATATTTTATAATATTTTTTTTGTGAAATATCCATAATATAATCCATAATATGAGGGATACAATATATATAATAAATTAATGCTAGTTTGTCCGTGTGAACACTGCACTGTTTAATGATAAAATAATAAATTAATAAGAAAAAAATAATACAATGTATCATAAGAAATTAAAATCAATTGTTACTTTCTCACTAATTATAATCGACAAAGGTAACAAAAATTAATTTAAAACTTAATTAATGTTTTGACCATGTTTTGCCACAGATGCAAAGTACGCATACAGCGTGCATAGCCCTCTTAGCTTAAAATGCCCTTGGGCAATAAAAGGAAATAAAAAAAAAAAATGTATATATAACATTTATATATTGTACTTTGTATTAAAGAAATTCCTGGGGGGTAGGAAAAAAAACCAAAAAAAAAAACCATGTTTTCAAAGATCAATAAGCAGTATCATCATTGCTAATAATTGTCTAATTTCAATGATTTTTTTTCCCTTTTGTGGGAAATTTAGTAATATTTTGAATAATTCTGGAAGTAACGCAGAATAAAGTGTTTAATATTTGAGTTGTTCACAAATAAAGCTTCTTTGCTTTCACAAATTTTTGCCTGAATATTTTGGGTGGTGAGACTGTTTTTCCCGCCTGGAGGAGAAGAAAACCTTCAAAATGGATAACTCAATCTTGGGATTTGATGAAGAATTAATGAAGGTATGGTTTACCGACAAAAAAAAAAAGTAATCCTCTCTCGATCATAGGTACATCAAAATATTGAGATGAGACATGTATCCCATGGCAACGCTACAATTAATGTGATGCTGTTTGGATGCAAACCCTTTGTTTTGCATTATCTCGAAAATTGTATATTTTTGGGCTTGAAAACACAGTGCCCGATAGTTCTGAACTATTTGGGTCTTGGTGTACGCATCAAAATCTTCAAAGTCTAATTTATCTCGTATTGATCTACAGACTTATCACCACTTCAGTATGAAAGCCTAGCAAAGTGTTTATATTGCCTCTATTTATTTTAGAAAGAAAAACAAAAGCGGAGAGTACGATTTGCTAACCTCAAGTGAAATTCTGAATCCAACCGTACTCCATTCATGATATTTTAGCATGCCAGGAGCTTTTATTTGGTACAAAACCGATTTTGAGAATTACTGTAATTACATGCTTGTATGCGAGGATACTCAATGTTTAGATTATGAATGAATACAAATAGGATTTAACAAATAGGATGAATACAATAATATCTATGAAGTTCCCAACATAATAATTAATTATTTTTCTGCCCCGATAATACTGTCCTCACCAAAACAACTAATGTGAACATAGTAGAAAAAAAAAGAACTTGACCTTTTAATTGTAAATTTTCCTTAGCAAATAATATTTGTATATCTGAGGCATGCTAATAACACTAATGAATTAAAAATATTTGTTTTTTCTCATAGACAACTTAAACCATTGAATTATTGAAATGTCTTGGAGTGATGTTCTGTTTATAGTTGGTGTTTTTTTTTTTGTTTTTTTTTAATGTTGATGTGAGATAAGCTATCTTACGTCTGCTTTAAGTGATCTTCACCCTGATTGTGCCTGCATTGGTCAACAAATTATAATTTTGTCTTGAGCCTTCGGCTTTTCCTAATCAAATTTATAAGAGTGAACTTTCAACGCAGAAGGTCTCATGTTTGTGAATTCTATCTGAATTCAGTGGGTTATTTCTTAGTGTAACATAATGATCTTCAGTGCTTGCATCCATTAATTTTTCAAAAATAACACATTTGGTAAAATCTCCTAATTAATGCTTGATTTCTAATTAAAGCATATATAGGAATCCTTATATCTTACTTTTGGTTTAATTACATTAGTTTTCATCAAAACATTCACATTTATCCACAGTCACAAAAATGGTTTCAATGGCCTCTAGTTGCACTAATTCATAGGAACGTTTTGTCACAACAGTCTATAAAAGCCGGACTATCTAATTATACCGTATAAAAATCTGGTTTCTGCAAGTATTTCTCTTTTTCTTCTCAGATCAAAGCAACCTACTAAAAATTTGCTTAACAATAAAATTAAAGTAATAACAAATTCAAATTAAAAAAATAAAATAAAATTCTGTTAATTTATAAGGTCAATAAAGATTGAATACTTTGCCTGATTATGAATTATCTCTCATTAGGTGATACTGCGCCATGAAGACATTCCAAAAAGTCTGAGTCACTCCATTGATACAGGTAATATCAACTTTCCATTTATAGTTAACCCAAAATAATTAATTTATGATTAAGTAACAGTCAATGCACTTCTTTAGTTTCAATAAGAAAAATATGATTTGACAGAATTATTTCCACTGCTATTGATAGGACATTGTTTTAGACTTTAAGTTATAAATTAATTTACCAGTTTTTTAAACTATTTTTTTATTCATTGTAAAATTGTATTAAATCTAACAAATTGTGTTTTATTTCTTAAAGAAGATAGATTTGGAAAATTCCCAGAACATTTATTAAATTTAATTCAGTTGATATTCATTAATTTTTATTAAACAGTAGCAGAATCTTATATTACATATAAAAAGACTGAATAGTAAAGAAAATAAAACAATCTCATGAACTGCCTCATGGAAATATGCAGGTGGGTTGAATTTTCAGAACCTTAGTATTATTGCACAATCAAAACTAAAATAAAAAATCATACTGGTAACTTTTTTATTAAAAATAAAATTTTACTATATTTTAAAATATATAGAATTTAAAATGGACATTTGAAGAAATGGACTCACCCTAATTGCCTTTATGATCTTTTAATTTATTGTCCTTTATCATGTATTATATGAACTAAATATTTCTATCTTCTGAATCTTTATGTGATTATTAATGACCATTATTGCTTCAATATCTCAGAACTGATTAAGTCTTGTGCAAAGAAATTTTTGAATGAAAATGGCAAACAGGATCTTGACTTCTTCAGAAAAGTTTACCTGCCCCGTTGCCTCTCTGGTACACTGGACCTGGTATTACCTCTTTTATATTATAATTTTAAAATAATTTTAGAAGTAGAAGAAATAATTGAAATTACAGATATTTTAAAGTCATTATATTTATTTATTTATTGCAATGAAACTTCTTATACGTCTAAAAATACATTGTTACAAATTGTTGGGATTGTTGGGACTCATGATAAATTATTTAATCTTACATTGAAGTACCATTAGTGATTTGGTGGATCATTGTTTAAATATATATTCAGTAGAGCATCCATTATCTGGACAATGTTGGTCCTTCTCTGAGTATTTGATGTAATTATCCCTAGAGTAAATTGAAACTAGGAATAAAAAATAGCACAAGATACAAATAACATTAATTCAAATGCTTAATCATTATCCACATAATATTTTTATGTCATTACAACTGAAAAATGTAAATTTAAAATAATAACGCTTTTTTATTATTTAAACTAAATAAATATCTTTTTTCAGTTTTTTAAACACTATGTTGTTGTTTTTAAGCAGAATCTAGATTTTTCAAATTCTGTTTTAATTATTTAACTATGAAAAAGTTTTAAAATAATTCCCATTTTAAAAAATAAAAAATGAACCATGATTACTCTGGGTAATTGATGGTCTGGTTGATTGATGTCTGAATAATCAATGCTCAACGGGATATACATCAGCACAACTTTACAACAAAAATATGGAAAGTTAAAACAAAAACAAAGTGGCTAGTTTTTAATGCTATAATTTATACGTCCTAATAATTTTATTACCAGTGGATTTTAAAGATTCATTATATTCACTAGAAAGGTAACCATTAAATATTTCCTAAATAAATCTTTACTTTGGTTTTTTGTAGCTATAAATATAATTATGGTTGGTTTAATGTTATGTATTGAAATAAATAAAATTTTACTCATTCATTAACACCATTTGCATAAGACAAGTCTTGTTGAATTACTGGCCTTTGGGATGTTAGTTGTCTTATTTAATTAATAATTTGTCTTTTAATTCAGTATTTATTATTGAGACAATACTTCTTTTATTAAATTAACACTCTTTACCAGAATTAAAATTGGCATTTTTCAACCAATAGAGGATCGATAAATTGTTTTACATAAATAAAATAGTTCATTTAGAAAAATTACTCTAATTATGGTTTGATTGATGTGTATCTACCACTGGTCATATCGATTTTAAATAATCATTTTATATTATTTTTGTAAAATATTAATCTTATTTAACACTTTGACTGCGGGAGCTTATTTGCTTGTTTCTACCAGATGGTGCATCCTTAAATCCAAAAAGACGTCCAGAAAAACTGACAATGGACAGAAAAAGAAAATTATTTTGCATAAATTTGTTTAAAATACTATTCTGAGTTACCCTGCAAAATCTTAGCTTTCAAAAACACATTTTAACCTTTTTATTCAAGTTTTAATGAACGAGGTATATATGCCTTCGCGGCCTCACATAGCAATTGCTAAATTAGATTGACAATCCCGCAACACTTCGCTTTCTTGCAATTAAGTTGTGAGTAGTGCTGTCTGGTGTTAGTGCAAATTAGTAGTTTACTTTATTTTCAATGTTCTACTAGTTGTAATTATAATTATTTATTTTCTTATGTTTTATCAGTAAAAGTTGAGGGCAAATGAAAAATAGATTTTAGTAAATAGTTGGAGTACTACAAAAATCACATGTATCTATGGAATACTAGCTAGCCATCTGTTATATTTAAATGGATGCAGCTAGAGTCATATTTATTGTGGTTTTCTTAACACATCATTTTTCTTTTAACAAAAAGAGTACCATTATGAATAGGACCAGTGACAGGATTATCAATAGTATTGACAATTGATTAATGAATCATGATTATTTCTTCATCATGCTTCTTTCTTCTCGTGAAAGGAATTTTTGAGTGTGGACAACGATTTCTCATAAATTTGATGGATCGAAAGGAGTTTAGCATCTTACTTAAACCGTATTAAAATAATGGAACCAATATCATCATGATTTCTAAACTAAGATGTGTTATAAAACCAGACCTTTTATAACATTACTGAAAAAGTCCTAATAATATGTTAAAAAAATAAAATAAATATATAAAATTTTCTAAATATGGATATACAGAGTGTCTCAGTTTTTCATGGCCAAACTCTGGGGGATGATTCTAGACAACCTTTCGAACAAAAAAGTTCATTTGATTCATGGGCTGATTCCGAACAGAAAAGCAGTTAAGAACAATTTTGTGTTTTTCTTAAGATGGCGACGTTTTTTTATTTAATAAGAAGGAATCGCTCAGAAACTGTTCAAGACAATTAAATTCTTAGTACACCATCATAACGTAAACAAAATTTTCTTTTAAAAAACAGTGATTAAATTTACTAAGGTCAATGACAAAAAGGATTTTCACAAGCTGTAGTAAAGGGAATCCTACAGTTATGCTGAATTATTTCACAAATCAGGAATACAGAGATATGCTTCTCGTGTATGGGTACTGTACTCCAACAGTACATTGGCTATATTAAACCTCCTGAAAGTCCCTTTTATCATTGATCTTAGTGAATTTAATTACTGTTTTTTCCCCAAAAATTGTCTACTTTATGATGGTGTACTTAGAATTTTATTATCTTGAAGAATTTTATAAGGACAGGGAGAAGTGGAAGAACCGAGTGAGGGAGGAGTTTGGCTGAAGGAAACTTCAATTTATAAAGAAAACTACCTTAAATAAAAAAATTTTTAAAAAATGCCTGTTATATTAATATTTAATTTTTAATTTGTTTTATTCATTTAATCTTTGGAGAGAATGGAGAAATTAGCATGCTATATTCCTCTGAAATACAAACAGTTTTTTGACAAGCTTTGCAACCGATTTACATGAACTATTCTATTCTAGAAATTTTCATTTTTATAATAAATATTTTTAAAATATAGTCCTTTCACAAAAATTTGTATTTTTTATTTATTTTTTTTTTTTTTATTCAAGTAAAATGTTTTTCCGTAGAGTGAGTCCCGGCCTTTATATAGTTATTCATTTTACAATCCACAACTTTGTTTGTATATAAAATATTTGTTCCTAATAATTTTTTTAAAACTATTTATTCGAGATATTTACAATTGTATTACAAGATAAATACATCAAGTAAATGTGTACACAAGAATACAATTACATGAGGACGCTTGTTGAGAAACTACCCACTGGTAGCACTCTAATTTCTAATATTAAACTACAATTTTATATTTTTTATTATAATTATTTTATTATATTTGTATGTATGTTTTTTTTGTAGGATGCTCAGCCCCAGGGATATAGTTCTGGTAAATCGCCATTACACCATGCAGCTGAAAATGGATTTGTGTCTGAGGTTAAGGACTTACTTACAAATGGGTCGAATAAGGATTTAAAGACAAATGATGGCTTTACTGCCTTGCACCTGGCTACAAAAAATGGTCATAATGATATTGTCAGACTCTTATTATCTCATGGTGCAGCAATATATACCACATCTAACACTGGAGAAACTGCGCTGCACTATGCTGCTTTAAAAGGAAATGAAGAAGCCGCTGAATTACTCCTGAATAATGGAGCAAATCTGGAAGGAAAGGAAAAAAATGGGTACACTCCTCTCCATCTCGCTTCTTTACTTGATTATCCTAAGGTAGAACAGCTGTTACTTTCAAGACAAGCAAACATTAATGCAAGATCCTATTCAAACAGAACTTCCCTCCATTTGGCTGCTTTACGCGGGAATATAGAAAGTGTAAAGCTGTTGCTAGACAACGGAGCTGAAATAGAGGCAAAAGATAGAGATGGACTAACTCCTCTTCACCTTGCTTCTTTCAATGGTCATACAAGAGTTGTGGAACTGCTACTTTCTCGAGGAGCTGTTATTGATGCCAAAGACAAACTTGGGAGAACTCCACTTCATTATTCTGCCATGGCAGGACAAGCACATGTAACCAGACTGCTTATTTCTAAGGGAGCAGATAAAAAGGTGAAGGATTTAAATAATGAAACACCACTGGTCCTTGCAATATTGAATTCTCAGGAAATTACTACAAGGATAATAATAGCAAGCGGACAATCTGAAACCTGATTGCAGACTATGAATTTCAGCAGCTATCTTATACTTTTCTTAGCCATTTTGGTTTGAATTTTCATTTAGTATTTTATGAGTTTTTCCAATATCAACTCAATTTAAGAAGCTGCTATTCAGTACTAAATTAATAAAAGTAAATAATTCGATCAATTAAAAAATAAATAGCATATAACTTTAGTATGGTTTAGATAAATCATTCAAGAAGCACAAATTATATTTATTCCAGAATCCATTATCATTTGGAATCGAGTTGTTTTTACATTTTGTTCAAACAGTAGATGAATGGACTAGTATAAATATATGTATATATATATATATTGTTTGTAGAAATGTATGTCATCAGTAATTTCCATTTCCACTTTCCACATTATAATTTGAGTCTGTCATCATTTATGCTACTGTACTTGATAGAAATATGTTTTTATTTTCTCTTGATCCAAGATTTATAGGACCTACTCATTTTATGTTTATTAACTTGACACTTTTCTTTCAATACTCATAAAACTATATAAAAGTGAAGTACTGTCTCTAATTGGTCAGTGAAATTATATGATTGATACTCTCTAAAGAAGGATATATCATAATGAAGAAGAGCTAACTATAACACACATATCAATTAATAAAAAAATATTTTTTTTTTTAAAGGATATAATTTAATTTTTAGAAGTTAATAATAAATATATTTAGCTTTATGTGTAAATAAATATCTGTTTGGTAGAAGTTAATAAAATACCTATAGGATGGCTCTGTAAAGCTAGAGGTAAATAAAGGAAGTTAAGAAAAAGGTACATGTTTGTTGACTCATATATACCTATATTTTTACATAGGATTTTATTCAAGTATTGCTATAAAAATGTATTCTTATCTACTTTGCATAATCTTTACGTATCCATTGACACAAAAGGTTTCAGCAAAAAGAAAAGAGAAAGTACTTTTTAAGGTCAGTTAATCACTTTTCAATGTAGCTATGTTAAATTAGAAGTAATATTATTGATTTTAATGTAACTATCTAAGAAAATAATTCTGAAAATACCTTAAAAACTTATTATTATTCAAATTTATTATTATTTTGTTATTACTGCAGGAACTGGAATATAAAAGTTCACTTAAAAATATTCCACTATATTAAGTCAGACATTGCATCTCTCTATTTATTAATTAACCCCTTCCAACAGTTATTGCATTATTATTGGTTGTTGCATTATATTTGAATAATTAGTTGTTCTGTGAACATAAAAACTTGGTATACTACACATCCGTTAAATTGCTTTTAATTTTTCAGTTTATGTGGTCAAGTTTCTAATTTCACTTTGAGTGCATATTATTTCTACTATATCCATCAATCGTTATTCAAAAAATACTACCAATCTATATAAATTATTCCTTATTTTTATTTTAGGAATTTTTCATTTCTCTGTATATTTTATACATATTGCTTATATTAACTATTAAATAGTTAATGTTTTGATAATATTTATTTTGAAATGCTGTTAACAGAGGTAGATTTACTCCTCTATGCCATGTTTACTGCTATATCGACTGAATTATCTTGTGCTTACATGAAATGCAATAATGATTTTTTTTTTTTCTACGCCTAAGTAATACCTGCTTGATCAGCCATGCGTGCTGTAGTAGTATAACTTTGCTCTCCTAGCATAAGTGCTGTCCATTTCACTAAAGGAACATCTTATGTCCTGTAATCCAGGGCATGTATCAAGATGTTCTCTTGTCATCATATCCAAGGAACACTGAGGGCATGTCCAAATTTTTTCTTATATTTCTAAATATTGGGCAGTCTTGGATGATGTGTTGAACTATTCTTTGTACCTTACAACTTTCACAGTTGGTGGGTGTAGTCCTCTTAGTATATAGGAATGTGAGAATTCACAATGCCTAATTCTCATTCCGCAGAGGACTGTCTCTCCTATCCAAGAGAGTCAGTTACAGGTTTTCCATTTGGAACAGTGGCTTTTTATTTATTTTAATTTAGCTTCTTTTTGGCGCCATCTGTTCTGCCATATTTTCTACAACTCTTTCTTTATATGTTGTAAAAAATCTTCTATGTGGATTTCACGGATTTCTTTCTCGCCTTCTCGCCATATTATTTGCCTGTTCGTTTCCGACGATTCCACAGTGTGAAGGAACCCAGAAGAACATTATTTTCTTTCCCTTTTCTATTAGTTTCCACAAAATATTTCTAATAGCCCTTGCCAGTGTGGTTGTTGGTTTTTATTTTCAATGGCTAGGATTGCACTCTTTGAGTCCATTAGTACTACCCAATTGTTACCATCAGTTTTCTCATTGTATGTCAAGACTTTTCTTATTGCAATCATCACTCTATTAAACACAGAGGAGATCTCCGGAAGTTTGAAATACTTTTGTATTCGAAAATTTACAATAGTGCATCGTACTTCACCGTTTACTTTTGAAGCATCAGTATACAGCACATTGCAGTTTTTGTGCTTTTCCATGTTTTCAAAGAATAAGTTTTGTGATTCAATAGAAAGTAGCGTATCTTTTCGACATTCAGCTATCGAGCTATCTATAACTAGTGAAGTATGGATCTATGGCGTGATAATAATGTCCGGTACATCCAAAATAGTTCCTAATTTTAATTCTGAAACATTTTTGAGAAATGTTTCTACGAAATTTTTTCTCCATATGTTGTCTTCTTCCTCTCGTTGGAATATTATTTAATTTAATACATGTGTTGGGTGTCTTAATTTTGAGTCCGTACTTTAGGTTTAGATATAATCTTCTCAGATAGAGAGGAGGTTCGTCTGCTTCAACACATAGACTACCTACTGGTGAGCCTGGCATTGTTCTAGTACAAATTCTTAAAGCACAGTTATGTACAATATCCAACATCATTAAAGTTTTCTTTGATGTGGTACCGTAAACACTTGAGCCAAAGTCTAATTTACTTTTGATTTAAGAGTAATATTATAATTCTATTTTGATTCTGATAAATAGCCAGGCTTTGCAGACTAGATATGGTATGTTAGGCTCTGTGACAATTGACTCAAGCAAGTGGGGCATCATTGGAACAATAGTTACTTTCAACACTATATCAAATGATACTGTTAAAAAGTTTAAAATAATAGTTAACAATATTCCGTCTCCAAATAACTTGGTTCTATGTAAAGAGTATGAGAATGGCTCAGTTAGTGTGCCATGCACTTACCGATTTCTTGGATTTATTAGTGTAAAGTATTTTGATAAAAAATATTATAAACCGTTTTAACTTGATTAACTATAAATGGATTTGATTTATTGATGGAATTTATTTCTGTTTTAATACATACTGGTGGTCATAAATGTCGTTATTTCTTTCCCAACCGAAAAAATATTGCAATTTTAATAAACAAAAATAAACAAATAAAAATATTAAGATTATAAAAAAAAAAAATAAAAAATAAATTCATTAGTTCCATATATTTTTTTTTTAATTCAGTAAAAATATAAAAGTTAAAAGTCATAGAATGTATTGTCGAGTGAAAAAAAATATTAGTAATAATTTCTGAAAACTAATATTATATTAATAAACAAACTAGTATATATTATAAACAATATTTATAAACAAACTAAAACTAGTTTATATTATTATAAACTAATATTTTATATTATTTATTGAACATGTCCACTTTACTTTATGTATTTTTATGCATTTTATGAATTAGGTTAGGAAGAGAGAGGAGAGAATATGAGGAGGAGTAGGAAAAATGTATGAGGTGAGAGAAGGAAAAGAAAGGGATTTGTTGCTATTAAACGAGTGAAAGAAATATTAAAAATAAATAAATAAAATAAAATAAAAAATAAATAAAAATGAAAAAATATATAAACAAAAATAAATAAATAAATAAATAATATATATATATATATATATATATATATATATATATATATATATATATATATATATATATATATATATATAATATTGTATACTATGCTCATACATATTGTTAATCCTATATAATTGTATATTAGTTTTAAAAAATTGTCTGTAGTGATTAATAAGTATGCTGTGTTTGAAACAACCCAATTAATTGGGCAGCATCCTTTTATGATAATAAAATGATTCTCTCTAATGGAAACCACATGTTTCCAAGAAAATGAATTAACTTCCTTAACTATATGTAAACTTTTAAATTATTTTTAAGTTTGAAAAAATGTGTAAAAAATTCACTCAATCAAAGCACCGGCATTGTTTAAAAACCTATTTGATTGTACTAGTGTTAAAGAATTAGTGACTTATAAAAACATTTCATGGATGTGTAAAACATAGCTTTATAACCTTAAATACATTTACTGTAGTTTAATTACTCTAAATCAAATATTATATTTAAATGATTAGGTATACATCGTCTCGTCGATTTATTCCAAAAAAAATTTCCCTTTTTGAAATCACAATATTATAAACTTACAATTTGTGTGACGACTTTTGACGTATCGATGCCATATTTAAATGCAAGTAACTGTATTTTGGTAAATTTTTCTAGGGTAAAAATAAAATTTAAATACATGTAAAAAGTGACAGAGATTTAATAATTATAATTTTTACTATGTAATACGATTTTTACTTATTCATAATTAAATATATGTACTTTAGAATCTCTCTTAATCTGTAGAGCTCAGAGATTGATGTTAAGTGATTCAAATAGACTGGTGCACTTTTAAGGTTTTTATTGCCTGCAATAGATATAATAAATAGGTTTTATATTATTTTGATGGTCTCAATGAGTTTTTGTATTGTTTGATATAATCGAAATTCAAAAATATGTTGTTTAAGGTTTAGCTAGATTACAAACTTACAATAGTATAATTTTGCCAGATAAGAACTGCTTTTCGAAATAGAGCGGTAAGTGAAAGTTGTGGGATGCTCCCACCAGATTTTTAGATATGAAATCAGAGTCTCTAGTGCTCTTTTTTGGGGAGGGGGAGGGTCCTCCCCTTCTTCACCTTTAAGGCTATACGGGGTTTCCCCTGCCCAGGGGATGTAGGCAGGGATTTAAAAGACCCCCCCTCTTCCTTGAACAACGGTACTCTCATAGGCATACTGCGAATAAGGTTGGCTATCCGATCTTGAATCTGATCCCATTCGCCTATTTGAAGGTCACATTCTGTTGTCGACGGATGGACGTCCCTAGTTGGTCCCAAAGATGCTTAATATGATTGAAGTTCAGACTGCGTGCTTGTCAATCCAATGTGCGAGTGATAATACTATAATCGCCAAAACTCCATCCGTCCATTTGAGAACGGTTAAGGTTTGCCACTGTTAACTAAGAACGCCTCAATTTGAGACGGCTAGCCATACGTTAGAGATAAATCTAAAAGTCGTCTTTGACCAGGCTCGCTGACATCCAATCCGGAAGGGATTTTGTCCCAAAGTTTATAGTTGGTACATGCTTGGTGCATTATTACTTTTAACTAAAAACTAATTCTTCCACAGTAATTGGACCACCCATGCTACTACCGGCCATCCCTTCCTTTATCATTTTACATATATTGAGCTCCACAATATGCTACACACAATTCCAAGTTTTGCAATCAGACATGAAACATTAGTTTAGGCCTTACAAGGCTGGTTTCTAAGAAGCCTCAGCAATTTTATGTCAATGTAACTTTTTATTTTATAATAAAAGTAAATTTCAAAGTCTTTACTGATGTATCTCGCTTGGTAGTCTCGTACGACTTTTTCGATGTGCGACCGGGTATTGTCCCGCAGAAAAAAGAAATGGAGGGCAATAAACAGATTAAAAGGTACCATAAATTCCTACAAGATACCGTTGATGTACGTGTGTACATTGAGCGTCGATCTTCGGAACACATGGAAATGTATACGTAACATATTCCACCCCGAACTATAACCGACTCTTCTCCGAATTGCACTCTTCCCGATTTATTGCACTGAGCTAATGGTTTACTTTCTCATCATTTATAGTTTGAAGTTCTACATTTATTTATGAAGTTCTAGCAGACGATTTAAAGTCCCGGAAGGTAACAAAACATATAACCTGAATATTAAAATGCTTAATTTATATTGTATTGTAAAATACTACTTATCAAATTAAATTATAACTATCAAATTAAAGTATAATTATTAAATTAAATTTTACTTTTTAAATGATAATTATTAAATTATGCTACGAAATGTTAAATGAAAAAAAAATTCCAAACACAACCTGGAATATGTGTTATGAAAACATTCTTCTATAATAAATATTTTGTTACAATATTGTTCAATTTGAATTTAATAATTTAATAACGAAAATTGGTTGTGAAAATATCTTTGAATGCCACTTTGCATTAAGACAGCGCACAGTAAAATATAATTGGAACTATTGAAGGCAGAATTTTCAAAATAATCTTTAATAATTTATTTGTAAAAGAAAAACTGATTATGTTAACGGGTGGACAGAGATAAAAAGTTATGCTGGGATTTGCGTAACAATTGTTATCACAAGTTAAACAAACACATTTGTAAACTTTTATATTTTTACAGAAGTAAGAAAAAACTATATGAAAATAATGAATTTACTTTGTATACTTTTTCTATAATCTTAATATTTTTATTTTCGTTTATGCATTATTATGTCCGTTTTTATGTTACATTTTAACTTCTAATTTGTTTCTTCAATTTAATTGCTATTAACACAATTGAATTCACAGATTCATAATTATTATTATTCGAAATTATTGTACCGAATAATCTACAAAAGTACATAAATTCGTTGGAAACATAAAAATTGTTTAATTCGATATTCGATATGTTATATAACAGTCCCCGATGCAAAACCCTCTTTATCAAATTATTAACATCCGTCTAAACTTCGTGAATGACTTCCTCTTAAATTAATTAATTTAATTGGGAAATACCCATTTGCTACAATCTTGAATCGTAAAATAATTTGATCACCAAGTAGAGAAAAAGGTAGTCACTTTTGTGAATGTTTTTATATTGGGCTGTTTGGCCTATATAACCTCGTTATTTTGACATATTTGAGGAGTAGGTCAAACCAAACGGTCCAATATTTTTGTATGCCAACTTCTGTTCTCTATCTTATGGTACGATTATCTTAAAGTGGAAAGAAAATGGTTGTTCATGAGTTTTTAGAACCTTACTAAACAGACAAAGTGTATCGATCTACAGACTGGAAAACGCCCCACCTCCAAAATTTTTTAAATGAAAAAGTTGTTTACAATAAGTTGAAGTCATTCACTCTTCTCGAAAATTGGTTTAGGAGAATCATGTAAAAAAAAAAATAAATAAATAAAAAGTATATTGTTAAGTGAACAAATGCCAAATTAATCAGAAAATAAAATAACGTATCAAATAACGTATAAATCAATTGTTACTTTCTCGATAAATATATTCGACAAAGGAAACTAAAATTAATTTAATACTTCATTAATGTTTTTAACCAACATATTTATAAATTTCAATAAGCTGTATCTTTGCTAAAAAATATCAGATTTCGATTTTTTTTCCTTTTGTAGGGAATTGAGTAATTTGTTATATAATCATGTACATAACCAGGAGTTATGTGGCTTAGGAGAATCACGTAAAAAAAATAAAAAGTATAATATGTAAATGGAAAGTACTACAAATACTAATACCACAAATAAGTTGTTACATGAATTTTCTAAACGTTTTTCAAAATAAGTGGTAGTATTAATGTCTATTTATCTTGTTGGTTGTGAGCAACACAACAGGATAGTTGGAAGCTTTTTCAATCTGGAACAGAGTTCTGGTTGGGCTGTTTGAGCTACCCGTGCGGTCCTTATCTAAATAATTACCTTTGTATTTTTAGCGCTATCTTTTTCTCTTTTTGTCACTCTAGCATGGCTTTACAACTATACAATTTTGAATAATTGCTCATTACTAAAAGGTTAAATGCTGAACATTTCCCTAGCTTACAGTATGCAGGTGCGATTTTTATTTCCCGAGGCATTTTAATCTAATATCATAAATTGGTTGATTCCAGCCGAATTCACCCGAAGGAGTGTTTCATAGGCGACTGTGGCGGCTCAGTCTTATAAAATACCTTATATTATAGAATAACTTCAAAATAAGTGCAGAAATAAGGTTTATGAAAGTTTCAGTTATAGAAAGTTAAATGAATGATGATGGGATCTGTTTGTCAAGAGGTATAGAATTAGCAGACAAATTCGAGAGGTGATACTCGCCGTGTAACCGAGCAATCGAACCGTTCAGGGCGAAAATTGAACTCTCGAAGGACGCGGCAGTTATTCGTGCTTCCTGCCTCCCTCTTCCTGTGCTATAAACGCGCACAATTAACCAACGCTCCAGCCTCAGTCGCCATGGAGCGCCTGGCTGGTGTCGTCTTCCTCATGATTTTAACTGTCACGGTGAGTAACTGTCATGGTGTTGTTAATAAAAAATGTATGACCCGAAAGTAGAATTATGCATTAAAAATATGTATTGACTTTATAGTCGATATTACAAAACCCAAAAGTTATAAATTGTTCGAAACTAAATTAGTTGCCTACAACAAAACTAGGTTAAAAAATACTGTCGAAATACGTGTGTTACTATCCATCACATAATTTGATAACTGTATATAACATTTATAACATATAAATCCTAAAAATTTAAAATGCTTACAATTACTCTCAACCGATATGCTCTCTCTTGATTATTTCTTTTCTTTCTTCCATTTATTTATTTATTTTTCTTTTCTCTCTTACTTTCTACATATAATTTAATTTTATATTTTTTCGTCATACATACTAAAATCGGAATTCCATATATTCACGAACGTTAAAATTAAAATTAAAATTAAAATTAAAAAAATATTGTAAAGTAAAACGTATATTGTGATGAAATTTGTAAAATTGTAAATATATTTGTATTTTTGTCTGTAAGAAAGGACCATAGGTCCTAAGACAAATAAAGATCAATCAATCAATCTCTCCCTCTCCCTCTCTCTCTCTCTCTCTCTCTCTCTCTCTCTCTATATATATATATATATATATATAGAGAGAGAGAGAGAGAGAGAGAGAGAGGGAGAGGGAGAGATTGATTGATTGATCTTTATTTGTCTTAGGACCGATATATATATATATATATATATATATATATATATATATATATATATATATATATATAGTTCGTAGAAATGTTAAAGCACCTATAAATTACATAAGATAATTGAAACGGAATTTTCTTTTCTCTCTCCACTACAACACTCAGCTAAATTCAAAAGTGAAAGTAAACATTTGACTAAAAATCTATTATTGACTACTTAATTTTGGCATATTATAATAGAAATATATTATATTTTTTATTAAAAAAACTACTTTTATGTAGTTTCGTCTTCTTCTATATACATTTAACAAGACTTGATAACTTGTCTTATATTCTATATTAAATTCGTTTAATTCATCATATCTTATGTATATTGAAAAACAAAAATATTAAATTTGATTATTAAAGTTCCAAAAATCCTATATCGAGATAATTTAAAAACTCTAAAACAAAATGTTAAGTGTTTGGTTTAAAATTTCACTCTTTAAGTGTTAATATTTGCTTCCTGGAAAATTTTTTTATGCATAGCCCTTAATTTATTTACCGATTGATGTCCCCAATCGTTTTAATCTGCCTCTGATCACAAGATACTTCATCGCCTTCTGACTGATTTTATTGTATAAGCATTAGAGAGGGATACTAAAAAAATCCATATTCATCGTTGTTTATTTGAATCCAATCATTCTAAAATTTAACGCACTGTATCCATTAAAACCAGGTGTTTCCCTCACCCAATTTCAACAGAGCATCTCCTTACACTTTTTTCTCTCCTCTTCATAAAAACATTGCAACCAAAAATATAACTGTAAAAAGTATGTTTCATGCTCATTACAATTGCTGAGGTATATTTTTTGTCTTTTATCCTGCTTTGTTCTTCCTAACTGAAGTCTTATAAAAATAAGGTCCTCTCCAAAAATTCACAACCCCGTCAGAATGCAGCACCCTGGAAAATTCAAATCCCACCCCTAACCTCGAAATGTTTCATATATATAGTGATACCTTAGCATGTAAGTAACTCTTTATCGCGTAGCTCCTTCCATCCGTTGACTTTTGTGGCATGGGAGCTACGCTAGTTTTATTGGCAGTATTTCTTAACAGACATCGTTAAGGGTAGTTTGATTTCAAGATAAAGCAATAGAATTTTTCTGTCGTAAGGGAGTTTAATCAGATATATAGCTTAAACCCTCCACAAAAAAAGCTTTTGGATCCAACCTCATGTTCAGCTTAATAAGCATGGCGATAGATGAAGTGGCTTGGATTGATGAAGCTTTATGCTATGATGGATTTTTTTTAAGGTGAAAATATACACCATAGTTATTGAAATTTCTAAAGAAAAAAAAACTAGGTTATTATAACTTTTATATTATTTTTTTCTTAAACAAAAAAATAATAATATTGTACTTTATTTCATGGTAATTTTATAAATTTCTTTTCACAACAAAGTATGTTAAAAACTTCCAAACTTTTATATTCTTCTTCTTTTTTATTAAAAGTAAAGCTGTGCTAATGAAATCTCGATAGTAATAGAAAATACTCTGAAATATTGAATGTGTCCATTTTTTCTTTGATGAAAAAATATGGTCGTGAGACAGCCTTCTTTTCATATACAGGTACATATTATTTCATACTTTTACATTATTACTTTGTATTGTATATTACATATAGACATAGCGACGAAATTGTGTGTTAATTATTTATGTATAAATAATGATTTATATAGTGCTCTGTAATATATAAGTGTATTAAGTAATACTCAAATAAGTTAAGCAAAGAATGCAGTTAAGTTCCGAATCAGACATCGATATTACTGTTAGGCAACCAACTTTCTTTTATTTAGAGGAGAGAGGGACGGACTTGATTTGTTATTTGACAAATATGTAAAAAATGAATACAAAAGCAAGCGTAAATATACCCAAACCCACATACGTTTGTAGTTGTTAATTTTTACATTAATAGTTACAGTTATGTGAATAATTAATATGTTATGGTACAATTTTCCTTGTTTAGATGGTTCAAGGCGCTCCAGAAGACTACAATGAATGCAGAAATTTTGTTGAGAAAGGCGTATGTATACATTCCATAATAGCTTAATATTACAGTAAAATTAGTACGATGGGAGTTGATAAAATTCTAAAGATATTTATGATGATAATGTTCAAATAATTGAAATCATATTATCCTAATGTTGGTATATTAAAAAATGTTTAAGGGGTGTATTAAGGGAAACGGATGACAACATATTTACATTTTAAATACGATAAACATTTTCTACTGGCTATTTGGTTTGACACTATGCAATAAAATACTCTGATATCTGCTAATAAGTCAGTGATTCACTCATAATGATTGAAAGAAATCATTTATTGAACATAATTTCATGTAAAAAATTGGATAATTGCATAATTTTACTAAAAGCATTTATCATTACATAACTACATTAAAAACATCCGAAATGGCTCTTATTTATTTTAGTGACCAATTACATATCTATAGCCATGTTTCAAAAATCTGTAATTTTAATGTGAAGCGTGGTTTTGGTCAATCTTGTTCTCACAATTATTTACAAATACAAACGAAAAGAGTTACCTGAAACCAGATATGGAAAAATTAATTATTATTTTTAAATATTGTATTTAAAATAAACGTATTTGGTGTTTTTAAAATACAGTGTATTTTAAATACATGGTAATTTTAAAATTATTTTTATTTTAAATACAAAATACTTTTCGTATATTGTATTTAGAATACAAAAAAAAATAATAAAAATAAAAATACTTGTGTCTAAAGTACCTAGTTCCATTTTAAAACTGGTTCCTTAAAAAAAATTATAAATGTTTTAATAATTTTTTTTTAAATTTGATTTAAGCAGTAATTTTAAGTATTTGAAAGAAATTTGTTAAATTTTTTTTAGTGATTCCACATTGATTTATTTTTAATATCTTCTAATGTTTTTTTAGATTAGCTTACATAATATTTCTATGTATAATATGAATTTGAACTTTTAAAGTTGCCCGATTGTTGCAAACGTCCAGAAGAGGGCAAAAAAGCAAGCGCAGAAACAGTGGCCATAAAGAAAAAATGTGATCAAGCTGTGATGGGAAATAGGCAGATGCGTAAGTATATTCTTAAATTTCGATTATAACTCTAATGTTATGAAATTTCTAGAGTACTATGCTATTATACGATTTTAAGAATCACTATACGATTAAATGAACGCTTCCTATATTTCATTAAAAGATACTGGTATCGGTACATTTTCATTTAATGTTGTTTTAAATATATAATTAATATATTAAGTTAAATAAAATAGTTTTTCATGTCGCATTAATTCAATCACCCAAAAATGTAGATGTGAAAGATTAATAAAGTAACAAAATAAGTTCTCTTTTAATTTGCACTGTAGTAAAAAAAATAGATGATGAAGATAGTGTAAGGGAAAACTTGAACCTACATAAATAGAACTCCCCATACAAAATTACTTCTCTTATATTAAAACAGTTTTTATCAGATCAATAACTGATTATTATTGTTAAAATGTTACTTGATATTAATTGAAATTGATTCATTGTGGATAGTGAATGGTTGATCGTGATTATGATAAGATAATTTGGTTATGCAGTCATAAAACATTTCAAATGGTCTAAACTATTTTATTGATCCTCTTCACACTTTTATTTCATTATTCATTTCAGTTAATTTTCCCAATTTCTATTAGTTATGATCCATCATGTTCTTAGTATCGTTTTTCTTCAACCATTACCAGTTGTCTTGTGTACTAGCACTTAGGTTATTACTGCAATTATCAGAAGTAGGTCTGTCTTAATATAATAAAATTAATAACAGTATCTGATTTTAGCTGCTAAATCAGAGGATAGGATGTCAATATACGAAGTAAGTAGCCCACATTACTAGTGATGATTGTAACTATATGACTCTCTCTGAAGCCTGTTGCGTTTTCTGTTCCAGTGTTTGGACGAATGCTACTACAACGCAACCAAACAATTCGTAAGTTTTCTCCGCATTATTTAATAATAAAAATTTTAAGTATTTTTTTTTTTTGGTCCTCCCCGTTCCTCGCCTTTAAGGCTACACGGGGTTTCCCCGGGCCAAGGAATGAGAGCGGGGATTAATGGCAGAGTTAAAATACTACTCCAGTACCTAGACGCGAACTCATGACTATTTTTCATGTAGTTATCTTATTGATCAGATTACCGGGCAATAGCGGGGCTGTGCACACGCCTTAGCCCGCTCGGCCATCCCGCCCCCACCACACCGCAGTAACTCTGCTTGAATGCCGTCCTGTCCTGGCGCCTTGTTATTCTTCAATTTTGCAATGGCTGCCTCAACCTGGCTGCCTCGTCTTCACCATGGCTCCGCATCATCCTGCGTGTCCTCTTTTCTGCCTATTCCAGCATCTTCCTCCACATCGTCTTTTTTGAGTATCATCTTGAATTGAGAACCATCTTCCTATATGCATCATTTTTCTTGACGGTGGCAGTTAAGCAATCATCGTCAAACCAGAGGGATCTTGTGCTGCGTGTTTGGTAGCCAGCTGCCGTCTTTAGAGCTCGGGATATTCCCGTCCACTCTTCATCAGCAGTGTCATTTCTGCTCCTAAATTTTTCCGCAAGCTGTGTTTTGAGTTTCTCCTGATACACATCCACATCCTTTCTAAGTTCTGACTCCAATGAGGTTATTGTGTCGAGAAATAATCAGATGCAACCAAACAATTCGTAAGTTTTTTCCGCATTATTTTTCTATATTGTTTCTTTGTTTCACGATTATCCTTATAAGTTCATTCCATTTTAAACTAAAAATGGCCTTGACATCGACATTTCCAATTTACATGGTTTTCGACTAATTATATTAGAAATCAATTTTTCAAAAAAGTTTTTACTTGAGTAAATTTTAATAGTAACTTCTTTTTATAATTACAAGTTTTATCACAAAAAAGCTTGTTGTATAATATATTTATATTATATTATGACAAATTTATTCTTATAAAAATTGTTACAAAAAAATATTTTCCTAATCTAATTAAGGATATTTAAAGATTAGAAAAAAATTCCTCCACGCGATAACGGAGTCATTATCTGGAGTCGGAGCACTAAAATATGAAGGATAAGACCAATAAAGACCTGCTAACAGAAACTGGACAATCAATGCCTCATGATACAAAGGTAAGGAGGTTATGATGGGCTTGGCATTTACTCCAAACAATCCATCTGGAAGCCTCTATTTAGCAATGAAACAGATAACTGGAAATAATGCAAGAGAAGTAGAAATGGAGAAGGCTGATTAAGAAGACAAAAAATCTAGGTCAAAAGGTCTGTAATGCCAATGGAAAAAAATAAAAAATAAAAATAAGAATGTATATTTCCTGTGTATAGTTCTTTTTTCTAGAGGGCATCAAAAATATCAAGTCCCATAACTCATCTATTTAATAAATTTTGTCATTTGAATTTACAAGATTAATAAAAGGGGAATTTTAAAATGTCCTGGATGTAGTATTTTTTAAAAAAGATAAATATGGGTCAGTAGCGTTATATGAGAAAAAGATATGTAGTTTATTTGTGTGGCGCACTAATGAAAGATTATCAATAATATTATTTATAAATGACAAAACTGAAGAATGACATTTTTTTTCATTACTTAATTTTATTTGTTTTTTATTTATAGCTAGACGATTTAAAACCAAATGAAGATGCGATGATTGAAGCCTTTCTAGAAGGCCTAGAATCATACCCACAATGGAAGGAAACCGTTGTCAAATCAGTGAAGAATTGTGTAAAATCAGATTGTAAGTTTAGCAATATTCAATTAAGTTTTATTGTATTTCGTAAAGTACTGAAAAATACCAAAGTTTTTGATAAGTAAGTTTCAGGCTAGCGTTTAGATAAAACCAACTTTTAACAGATTTTCGTATTCCAATGTTTGGCTAATGTATCATGAACAATTATTTCCATTTCAGTTTCCTTCAGATACACACACGTACATTTACACTTAACCAGAATAGACCCGTGTCAGTTATGTAATCATTCGAAGAAAGTTGTGACCGATAGGTTATAAAATTGTAGATTTATGATTTAATAATTATTTCAAATTATGCGTCAACCGATTTCAACTATTTTTTTTTGTGTGATTAAACATCAAAAACTATTATATACATATACCGGAGTTCGTTCCAGTGGACCTTATAATAAATATTATTATTATTATTAGAGGAGGAGATAAAAATTATTTTATATAATTTAAAAAAAAAAAATTTAGTAACCTGATGTGATAAGTTTGCTAAAATTAAAATATAACTTTAGTACCACTAAAATTTTGAAAATTCATATTTTCCTCCTAATATAAATAAATATGTATTATTATTTATTTATGTCCAGTAGGAAAAATATTTTTTTCATTTTGCAGAATTAACTCTACTCCAGAAGAAATAATTATGGTACTTCAAATTGTAAATAATATATCAAGTTTATTTAATCTCAAGCTTCAATGTTGTCACGTCAAGAAATCGTTGATTTCGAAATCCCAATCTGCACGTCCAAGTCTTAAACTTTTCTTTCCTATGTGAGAGAAAAAAAAAAAAAAAAAAAAAAGATGACTGCTACTTATCCTTCCTTATGCTTTACATACTACTATTTACTATTTTATTATGGGATGTAATTTTCAAGAATAACCATGTTAATTTTTTTTTTTAATATCGTTATTTAATAGACTGTAAATATCGTCATATATCACTATGACCATTGTCTATGTGACCGAATATTGTTTTACTTAATAAATAAATTTTATAACTATTATATCTCTACAGCTTGTATACCGCTAGAATAAAATTACATTTGTTAACACATTCAATGCCTAAGACTATTTAAAATGTAAAATTTGTAATAAACTCTAGTTAAATATTATTGGTAAATTAGAACTAAAAAAATAAAATTATATTTCATTTTTTATTTTTATGTATTCTATTTTAATTAGTTTCTTTAGATTGATATTTTTCTTCATTTTCTCAAAGAATTGGACGTTTCAAAAGATATGCAGTTTATATTATTCCTCAAAATTTGAAATCTCCAACATTGAAATCTCAAAATATATCGCTGTTTTTAAACATTGAAATTCAAACTCCGTAGTTGCCGATAGATCAATCTAAAAAGTACTGATTAACTTTTTAATGATGGCGTCTTTATTCAGCTAGGAACTCTATGTATAGATTTCAATACAGGTTTTTTTGCGATGTAATTTTCAAGAACAACCATGTTAATGTTTTTTTTACTATCACTATTTAATAGACTGTAACTATCGTCTTACATCAATATGACCATTGTCCACGTGACCGAATATTATTTTACTTCATAAATAAATTTTAAAACTATTATATCTCTACAGCTTGTATACCGCTAGAATAAAATTACAATATTTGTTAACACATTCAATGCCTAAGACTATTTAAAATGTAAAATTTGTAATAAACTCTAGTTAAATATCATTTGTAAATTAGAATTAAAAAATAAAATTATATTTTATTTTTATTTGTATATATTTTATTTTAATTTCTTTAGATTGATATTTTTCTTCATTCTTTCAAAAAATTTGACGTTCAAAAGATATACAGTTTATATTATTTCTCAAAATAATATTATTTGAGATTTCCAACATTGAAATCTCAAAATACATCACTGTTTTTAAACATTGAAATTTAAATTCTGCTGGTAACGATAGATCAATCTAAAAAGTGCTAATTATCTTTTTAGTGATAGCGTCTTTATTCAGCAAGGAACTTCTATGTACAGGTTTTAATACAAGTTTTTTGTTAAATCCCTTATACTTTTCAGATGTTTCAAGACTAAGGAAAGGAGCGAAATGCAAGAGTGGTGTCTTGGAGCTAGAGACCTGTTTAGGAAAACAGATGTATCTGGTATGTATTTGAATACAAAGATAATCTTGAATCTAAAGATAATGAATCTAAAAATAATCTTTATTTTCGTTCAGAAAAACAGTTATGATGTACTACAATATCTTACATTTTATAAACAATGCAGCAAATTTTGTAATTTAAGTATCTGAAAAACAGTAGCTTGTGCTTACTCGCTTATGGTTTTATTGTAGTTGAAGTAATTGAAAACAAGCAACAGTTTGACTTCGGCAATATTTTAGTGAAGTTGTATTCAATACCAAGAAAACTCAACTGGTACTCTTACTGCTACTCTTGAGGGGAACTAGTCCGACAAGTGGGTCTATTTGCCAACCCTCTGGGCTACGTCCAGGTTGCCGCCGCGTACTTACCGGATGGGAGTTTCAAGAATCATTTCCTGAAGCCACCGAGAAAAAAATATTAACCGACGCAGGGGAACATTCAGGACCAGGCACTCTGGGTCCCACAACCTAAAGTGGTCGGCCATCACATCCTCAAGAAAGCTCCAGAAAACAGATCTATAAATTAATATGGTTATATTCAGTTTTGCACCATACTATTGAAAGACTTTATAATATTAATGTTTTCATTATAGACTAGAAAAATATAAAAAAAACTTATTAGAGTTTAAATGAAATTGATGATAGACATAATATATTTAATTAATTATTTATTGTTAATTTTAATTATTACTGTTACTATTTTCAGAATTGTCCAGAAGATGCTTGGCAAAGTAACAGTGAGTATATTTTTTTAAATTTTCATTATAATGCTTTATTTTATTTGATTTACTGATTTAAAAAAAAAAAAAAAAACTATAGGGAAAAAACTAGATTTCTAAGCTATGCAGCTGATGAAGATACCAGATCATTTAAATCAACTCAGGAAATTCATAACTTATTTACCTTAAAGAAATATGTATGAAATTACTAACCTTTCAAGTAATTCTGGCTAAACATTTCACAAACTTCGCAATTTCATGGCCGTCAACTGCACGTTCCTATTTCAAACATTTTTCGAAATATGATATGCTGATGAGTTTTCAATGAAACTCACATTCCTGTCTTATAAAAATTAAAAGCGAGCAATATTATTGAGAAGTAATGGAGAACATTGTTTAATGAACCAAAACAAGTACCACCTATAAACTTGCCAAGAAAGGAAACTGTTGCAGAGTTTCTGATAATAACATGCCACGAATACCTTAGGAAATAACTTTAGCATTCTCGAGTCTAACGACGCCGCACAGTGGGTTTCCCAGTCTATCTAGTGGGACAAAAGTCAAAATATGAATAGTGAATTTGTTTATGTAAAATATCATTAAACGCGTTTTTATATACTAAAACTTTTATACATTCTAAGTAATTATAAATAGAAAAATTAGTCGAAAAGCAAACAAATAATACTGATCAATGATTTATTGACGGCAAACATCGAAAATTGAGAGCCAGTTTTGTTAATAAATGGCAGGTACTGGTTTGTGAGGTTCAAAAAATAAAAAAAATAAGTGCATTAATTTTTTTTTCGTGAATTAGAATAAAAATTAGAACCTTTGAACGAGATCAATAACATATTAGTTCGAAATAAAAACAAAGGTTAAAAGCCCGCGGTGGTCCAGTGAGTTAAGGCGGCTGCAAAAATGTAACACTACGAGTTTAAATCCCGTTCGCTGGATCAAATAACAAAAAATAAATAAATAAATAATTAATAATAAATAAATAAATGCAATCCCTACTCGATTGCTTAGACCAGTATGACACGGGTTCGATTCCCTTATGGGAACAATAACGTCCCCACCTTAAGATCCACAGGAAGGTGAGAGCAACCCCTGTATCTAATAACCATAGCTTCTTTGGTCCTCCAGATTTGATTATGTTAATAATTTATTTATTTATTTTAAAAACACAATAAACCACAAAATATAATTATAATATATGTATATGTAATAATTTAAACATTTTAATGTTTATTAATTATAAATATTCATTTTATAATAGTTCTTACGAAATAATAAACATTTTATATTCATAAAAAAGTAATTAAAAACATCGATTATGCTATTTTGAAAACCGTCGATACTTCCTCATTCTCCGATGAATAAAAATGTTATTTTTTTTATTTTTTTATTGATGATATTTACAACTGTATTACAAATAAAAATACATTCAGTAAATATGAACAAAAGAATATAATAACATGAAATCCCTTGTTGAGAAACTACCCACTGGTAGCACTCTAAAAATGTATTTACAAAAGGAGATCTCAAGACCATCTTCTTTTCAGACGAGTCGGAGGGGTTCAATAATTTTAAAGATTATTTTAACTGATGCAGATCAAGTCATTGAGGTTCAACCAAATACTCTCAGATTCTAAGAAGGAAGTTAGTTGTTTATCTAGATAGGAAAAAAATAATATTTTAAAAAAACGAAAACGAAGATTTAATATTTACTGTAAATTTTGTTTTTATTGTTTACAATTGGGGTGTTTTTCGAAACAAATAAATACAGGACCTTATGTTCTTTGTGAAATTGTTCGAACATTTATACATACAAAAACTGTTTTTAATATATTTTAACTACCTCCAGGTGGAACATGGCGGTTTAAATTAATACGAATTTATCTTTACCAATGACTGCTAAAAAGTTGTAAGAAATAAATTTTTCGGAGGACACGGAGTTATTTTTAAATCGCATTCTTTATAAAACTTTGATTTAAAACGCACATTATTGTTAACAAAAAGAGAAAAAGAATTGAAGTAAAACAAGTTTTATACATTATTATATATTTTTCTAGTAAAACAGAATGGCAGTAAAATGTTAATAAAGTTTCAAGAAAAAAAGTATGAACCACTAACTCAATCCAAGCAATTTTACAAAACTTACAAATCGTCCGAATTTCATAAAATGGCTAGGTTTTCAATTGAAATATTCAATAAAAACAGTGAAAAGTTGTATTCTGCCAATGGAAAATATTCTCAAAAATTTCAGAAGGCATTAATAAAACAGTTTATATAGTTTTTGCAGTTATGAAAAAAATATAATTATTTTAGCCAATGTTGCGAGTTTTCCCTTACTCGTCCCACTGTGCGTCGCTGTGCAATGGCTTGAGATACAAAGCTGCGATTGGCGGCGCTGAACTACATTTTTGATACACAAATCCTCTAGCCCTTATCCTGGAATATCCTTTTTATAAATTAATAATGTTTATGTCTGTAGATTGAATTTAATTTATGTAACTTTTTAAAATTTAATTTAAATATTGTTTACATAGTTTTCGATTACTTTTCTAGGACTAGAATGCAGCAATGCCAAGGAAATCTACGTCAAGTGCACGCCTGATATTTAAACATATTTTCGAACATAAATATATATTTTTTATTAATAACATTCCTAATTACTTCTATGAACTAATTAAATGTCAATTTTTTACAATTTCGTGTTGTTATTTTAACCTCATAACACAAAATTACAACTTTCCCTTCCAAAAAGGAAAAGGTTTTCATATATCATTCTGCACTCGACATTTTTATCTTGCAAATTACATACATTATATTTTTTTCTTGTTAACATTACGACAGCCATAATTCAAAAGCGATTAAATTCAAAATATTAAAATTATTCAGAAAACTTTTTTAAATTTTATATAACCAAGATCTTTCATAAATATTCTATTGGAGTTCTGGCAGTGGCCAGCTTCTCCACTCAACTCCTGAGCGTATGAGGATTTAGCGCTCTTACTCAGTCTCCACTGTCTTTTAAACAGTGATGCGGCTGGGACAGGAGCGCTGGAATCTCCTTGAGCCCTGCCTTGCCTTTCACGTGAGAGCTTCAAGGAGTACAGAGCGCCCTAGGTTGAATGTAAATATTGTACACAGGAATTTGTGTGTCAATTTTTTTTTCTTTCTTTACTATTCTTTGAACGTGTTTTTGTTTTCGTTTTTACAATTTTTTTTTCTTCTTTCATTTTGATCTATATATTTTTCCTTAAATGTTTCCTTCTTATTTTATTTTTTTCCCTCAATTTATATTTTAAATTGTAAATAAAATGTATGAATGTAAGCATAGAGCCATTATGCGCAATGCCCTAGATTGTGGCAGATTGTATTATTTTTCTTCTATAAACAAAAATTTAAATATTAGACATATGAAATATTTTTCTGCGAAAACACAAAATAACAGAAATATAAATAAATAAATTTTATAATAATTACCTTTACTAGCAAATTTTGTCATAATAGATTTTAAGTGGTAAGTAGACACATCAACTCATTCCTAAAAAATCACATCTATCCTTAGGATTAGATTTGGGATCGAATACTCGTCTCTACTTTGTGTTGTGTGAGCTGATTTCTCAGTATAGATTTGCAATGTGGAATCACAAAGGTTTAATTATGGTGGCAGAAACAACAGGTCTAGTTCATGATAATGAAATGAAGATTCTGAGTGGTATGTAAAAAGACTATAAACCTAGAGATAGGAAAGCTACATGACTGAGGAGGGCTGCGGATGATGGTGGTATCCATAGGCACAAAGCACAAGACCAAGAATAAGGCAAGATGGTCCTATGAACAGCCTTAGCAATGGTCTACACCACTGTTATGGAATGAATGGTCTTAGTAAATGTATTACTTTCCCCGACTTATCTAAAGAAATATTAATTTAAAAAAGTTAATGTTAATGTTACCATATGGCATGAAATGGAAAAAAAAAATTAATAAAATCATGTGCAGTGTTTCTCTAGTTTCAAACATTGAGAGGTGTTCTGCATCTTCTGCTACAAGCTCCATCCAGCTTATGTATGTACATAGCAGAACATGACTCCATCCACAACAACAATAATATTTTTTTTTACGCAAAAGTACAAAACATTTTAGCAAGGAATTGACTAAATTAACAATTTAAACTTCTGTTGAAGATACATCCTCATTGACAAAATAAAAAAAATATACATATGTGTGTACAATTAGATTTTCATCCCCTATGCAGTACAATAAAACATAATAATACAATGAAATAAAATAAATTTATGTACCAATACAATACAAATAATAATACAATGGAACAGAACAACGACAGTGAAATAAAATACAATGAAACAAAATTTTCCTGTTTTGAAACTTCCTTAGGGTTCTTCTTCAGCCATTCCTTCTCAGCCTAATATGAAGTATCTTAATTTAAGACGACAGAAATAGTGATATAATTTATTGAAATTTATTCAGGTTAGCTCTGTGGTACGTATGACTTTCCTGCTAATACAATTGAAGATAGGGAAATTGCTAAGGAGAGGGAAAATTGTGTCTACTTTTTTTGCGCAATAGGCAATTCTTTTCTGGCTGTAAGTCGATTTTTTTTAAAAATAGATTCTCGAGTCATGCCTTCCTCCCATCAACTTTATTTCAGCTACCAATCTGATTTTAGCTATTGGCATCTTCATGTTTAAACAAGGTTCAATACCATCTAACGTGCTTATATATATATATATATATATATATATATATATATATATATATATATATATATATATATATATAGATAGAAGATAGATAGATAGAAGAATCAACTTTATTCTGGGACTACGTCCCTTGAGAATAACAATATTGTACATAAAATTAAACATTACATCTGGCCAAAATGTATATTACAATAAACAAAAACAAACAAACAAACAAAAAAAAACAACTAAAAAATAAGGGATAAAAGAAGTGTTTACATAACTGTACAGATATCGGAAGCCATAATATGAGAAATAATGTCCTAATACTGCAAAATAGTTGCTATACACAATACGCTATGAAATTATAAATGAGCGACAGATAATAATAAAGATGTTATAGTAATAGTAGTATGTTCGTAGAACATAATAGTATAATCGAAATACAATAATAGTGTAATCGTACATACACAATATATACACCCAATAATACAATAATAGTGAGAATACAATAATAGTACAATAGTATATATACAATATACATATATTAATATATATATACATATACATACATACAATGCAACAATAGTATAATAATACAATATAGGCTACCCAGCGTCTGATTGAATTGTAAGGAGGAATTGGAAAAGGAGGGTTTTAAATGTGGATAAGGATGGTGCATGGCGGATTTTAAGTGGGATGGAATTCCAAAATGTTGTGGATCGGACAATAAAGGAGTGTTGAAATGAGGCCGATTTGTGGAAAGGGGTATAAAGGTCGGAAGGACGAGATCTTGTGGAGAGGGAGTGGATAGATGACTTGAATTGAAGGAGATTGAATGCGTAGGAAGGACGATGATTATAGATTATTTGGTAAAGGAATGTACCTAGGAAGTACTGTCTTCTGAAGGAGGGGAAGAGCCACCCTGACTCGGCGTAGTAGTGGGAAACATGAGAACGTCTCGGGGTCCCATTGACAAATCGTACTAAGCCATTCATTATTCTTTTCAGTCTGACTCCAAGTTCCGATGAGAGGCCACCGTACACTACACAGCCGTAGTCAATGTGGGGGAAGATGAGGGCGGATACTAGGAGTCTACGTGTGGATATGGGTAGGAGATGGCGGAAGCGATGGAAGAGTTTCAGGATGGAAATTGAACGTCGGGATATGAGGGAAATATGGTGATTCCAGGAGAGGGTTTGATCTATGATAACACCTAAGTTTTTAACTGAAGTGTTGAAGGTGATGGGTTGGTCATTCAGGTACAGGAGAGGAATGTTGGTATTTGATCTGAGAAGGGGTTTGGAACCGAGGACAATGGCTTGGGTTTTAGCAACGTTTAACCTTAATCCATTTTCACTTGCCCAGGCACAAATCCGATTTAGGTCTTCTTGTATTTTGGCAAACGCATCATGCCATTCAGAGGGAGCGAAGGAGAGGTAAATTTGGGAATCATCGGCATAAAGGTGATGTGAACAGTGAAGGATTGATTTATGAAGGTCGTTAATATATGAACTAAAAAGGAGAGGAGATATGCTGGAGCCCTGTGCCACTCCTGAGGACAGAGTTAGATAGGATGATAAAGGTTGGTTCGGGATAGAGACTGCTTGGGTACGTTGAGAGAGGAATGATTGAAACCAAAGGATAGAGCTGTTGGAAAAGGATAACGATTTCAATTTGGAGAAAAGGATGGAATGGTTAATGGTATCAAAGGCTTTGGAAAAGTCCAGGAGGATAAGGACCGTTAGTTTTTTATCATCTATGGCTGACTGAACATCACTAACGATTTTGATTAGGGCGGATTGTGTGGAGTAGCCTGGTCGAAAACCAGACTGGTAAGGGTCAAGTTGATTGGATTGTTCTAGGAAGTTGGAAATTTGGGATTGGACTATTCGTTCTAGAGGTTTTGCAAGGTTAGACAGAATTGAAATTGGACGGTAATCTTCAGGGGAAGAAGGGTTAGGATTTTTAAGTAAAGGACGGACAATGGCTTTTTTCCATGAGGAAGGGAATATTGCGTTCTGAAGGGAGAAATTGTAGATGAAAAGTAGAGCGGGAAGGATTTCAGGTAGGCATAATTTGATTAATTTGACGGGAATACCATCTGGACCAATGGAATTGGAATGAGATTTCATGACGGCGGATATGAGGTCTGTAGGAGAAATATCTGAAAAATAAAAGTTGTCGTCGTTAAATGATATTCCAGGAGTAAAGAAGGAAAAGGTTGATGGAGGAATGCAGGAGGAAGCTGATATAAAATATGAATTTAAATCATCAGGTTTGACTGGAAAGGCTGCTGAGGAAGGTGATCTGGAAGAGTCACAGAGGGAGAGTTTACGAAGGAGTTGCCATTTGGTTTTGGAATCAGGAGCTGCTGAAAGGGCTTCGTGGAAATAGGAGGATTTGGCTCTTCGGATATTGGTTTGTGTCAGGTTACGGAGCACCCTAAACGCTTGGTAGTCGTCAGCGAGTCTAGTGCGTCTAAAGCGTCTGCGGGCTGCATCGCGTCTCTTCTGAAGATCTTTAATTTGCTGACACATCCAGGGAGCAGGGGGGCGACGAAAGGTAGAGGTTTTGATGGGAGCATGGGAATCAAGGATATTACGGAGGTTGGAAGTTAAAATATCAACCATAGCGTCAATACATGAACAGGAATATATTCCATTCCAATCAAGGGTTTCCAGGTAGGGTAAGATTTTTTCACGAGTGAGGACATCAATATTACGGAAAGTTATGGTTCTAGGTAGGATCGGAGGAGTATGGATATTATATGAAATTTGAATTAGGTCATGAGAGGATAAAAAGGAGACCGGTACTTGTGAGGAGGAAAGGAGGTTCTGAGCGGAGTCGATAATGTAATGGTCCAACCAGGTATCGGACCTGGGGGTGTGATGAGTGGGCGAAAAAGGAACAATGAAAAGATGAAGAGAGAAAAAAAGGTTTTCGAGGTATGATTTATCGCTGGAATCGGAAA